TGGCGAGTGTCTGTGCGATGCTGTGGCTGCCTACGCCAAAGCCTGCCTGGACAAGGGCGTGTGCGTGGACTGGAGGGCCCCGGACTTCTGCCGTGAGTGTGCCGCTCCCCCCGGGGCCTCGCCCACGAGCACCTCTCCCGGGCGGGCACTGGGCCACATCCCCCAGGGCCGCCCCGGCTGACCACCACAACCCCCTGGACCCCTGCCCCCGCGAGGAGAGGTCCTGGCAGGAGAACGGGAGCCTTCCGCACCCACGTTCAGGTCCCCACTCTGGGCACCACCCAGGGCTCCGCCTCAGCCTGGGCCGGCCTCCCCTCCCACCCCACTGACTGACGCGGCCTCTCCTGCCAGCCATCTACTGCGACTTCTACAACACCCACGCGCGGCTAGGCAGCGGCGACTACCAGTACACACAGGAGGCCCACCGCACGTGGCACTACCAGCACTGTCTCTCTGCACGTGGCACTACCAGCCCTGTCTCTGCCCCGGGCGGCCACAGAGCCTCCCGGACGTCAACATCGAAGGTACCAGGCAGCAGGGGTGCAGCGCAGGGCCCTCCTCCAGCCACGCACACCCTTTCATGGATTCACACAGCTCGTTCACTCGTCTGCTCACTCGTCCGCCCGCCCTCCACCCGCTCACTCACCTGTGCACGCACTCGCTCGTCCGCCCGCCCTCCGCCCGCTCACTCACCTGTGCACGCACTCGTCCACTTGCGCACATGCACCTCCAGGGCACGGGTTGCCAGGCCAAGTTTAAGGTGGCCCTGCTTCCAGAAGTCCCCCTTCTGGCCAAAGAGAGATACTTGAAAACAAAATAAGGAAGCAAAATACTGTCAGATGACATGCAAGACATGATGGAAAATAAGGCAAGGCAAGACACTGGGAGGGACACAGGGACTTCCACATCACAGAGTGGTCAGGAGGTAGACCTCTGGGCAAGGACTGGAAAGAGGGGCGGATGGGCCAGGAAGGTTTCAGGCAGAGGGATGGCAGGGCAAGGTGCCAGGAACCCCAAGGGTATGGGGCAGCAAGGGCAGAGTGGGCACAGGGCGTGTGGGGTGAGCGTGGGAGGGGAGGGCTGTGGGGGGGTGAGTGGAGGGTACGGCTGGGCTTGGACGGGGCCTTTCAAGGCTCACGCTTGCAGGTAGAAGTCTGAGTGGACACTGGAGCTGAGCTGACCAGGCAGCGAGGATAGGAGGCCGAAGGGTAGGGCAGGAGCAGGGTGACCACGAGGCAGGGTCAGGAAGACTGGGCGTGGCTGTGGCGCCTGCAGAGGAGGGGAGTGTCCAGTGCATCAGCGTGTGCCGATGGTGGGCTACACAGAGAAGCTGGGGCGGGAGTGAGGAGCTGCCCACACAGAGAGGACCCTGCGTCTGGGTCCAGAGGGGAGGCAAGGGCGGGATAGTCGTCCCAGGGGTCACCCAGCTCAGGCTGGTTTCAAGGTCCCAGCACAGCATCGTCCACGTGAGCAGAGGTGGGCTGTGGACAGAAAGGGGAGGAAGGAAGGTCTGGGGAGGCTTGGGTGGGGAAAGACGGGCAGACAAGGCCAGGAGGGGCCGGTTAGGACCACTGCAGTCCACAGTCCTGAGCAAGAGAGTCTGGCCTCGGCAGGGTATAGGCCACGGGGACTCTGACAGGTAACCCCAGGTTGGGGTGAGGCAGAGAGGAAGGGGACAAAGCAGGGCAGGGGCCAAGGCAAGGAGCAGAACACAGCAGGTGGGCCCGCTGGCAGGAGGGAGGGCCTGTGTGGGGTGGGCTTGGCTCCCACGCTGAGCCTGGCCGCTCTCACCGTAGGCTGCTACAACTGCTCCCAGGATGAGTACTTCGACCACGACAAAGGGACATGTGTGCCATGCGGTAAGTCCACCGAGCTCCCAGGGTCCAGCACCAGCACTGTCGGGCCACTGCAGGCAGCCTTACCTGGGCCCCGCACTCAGGCACCCCACACCTGGGAGAGGTGCCCTCAGGACTCTGAGCTCCTGCACTAGCCTCTGGCCAGCCCCACCAGCTCCACTGCAAGGGCTCTGCCCCTTTGGGGTGCTAGAACTCCCAGAGCCTCAGGCAGCTTCCAGCCACAACCACAGACAGGAAACAGCACAGCGCTAGCCTGGGCCCTTCCCTGTCCTCCCATCCCCAACCTCTACTCACCTGGTCCCCAGCCTCAGTCACAGTCCCCAACCCGCCAAGGTGTCCAGGGAGCAAAGTGGAGCTGTCCCCGGGATCCAGGTCTACGCAGCCTTGAGGAATGCTGCCTGTCCTCCCCACCCAGCCAGCCAACAGCACGGGGAGGGAGGGCTGGGAGTGCCGCGTGGGGAGCACCCTGACACCCCTTCCTCTTGCAGGGCCGCCCCCCACGCCGCCGCCTCCCACCACAGGTGATTGCACGCACACTAGGTGCCGAGGTGACCAAGCAGCTCTCTTCCCAGGCTCTTTCCGGCCGCCGCACAGCCCCACCAGCCCTGCCTCAAGCAGGGCACTGGGAGGGCCAAGGGCAGGGTTGGGGGTGGAGGTGGGGAAGGTACCTGCACATCCCCGGGTCTCGCTGGGCAGCCTCAGGGGTGCAAAGCGTAGTTTCTGCCGGCGGCCAGCCCACCACGGCCCTGGTGGGACCTGCCACTGAGCACTGTGTGGAGCCTGGACAGGTGAGTCCCTGGCCATGCACAAGGCCCCATCGGGAGCTCTGACGCCCTTGGTGCCTCACGGGGCTGCAGGGTCCAGCAGGCCGGAGAGGAGGATCCCTGCCAGGGCGAGCCAGGGCGAGCTCCCAGATAGTCCGTAACGGCACATCTGCCCCACGCAGGCTCGCCGCCCACACCAGCCCAGCCTACCACAGTGACCCTCAACACCACAGGGCTCCTCAGCTCCCCACACACGCCTGTTGGATCCACCGGGACTCCCGCCCTGCCAGCCACGTCCACAGCTGGACCCTCAGCCTCCTCCTCTGTACAGACTGGAACAGCCTCGACCATGCAGGCGGAACCTACAGTCTCAGGAGGTAGGAGCTCTGCAGGGTGCAGAAGCACAGGGAGGGCCACCACAGTCCCAGGGACAGCCAAGGGCCACAGACAGGACTCCAGCATGGGCTGAGGAGCGACTGCACCCACTCACTTTCTTGGCACAGAATTTCCTGCATGTGGAGCCACGCTGAGGATTCTTCTAAACAAAAATGTTTAAAAGACAAGCTGGGCAGGCCAGCAGGTGGTGTCTAATGGTGTCACTAGGAAGCTCATGGGACCTCCGCCCTATAGCTGGCCTCCCCATCCTCAGCATGCCACACCACTGCCCAGGGACTCCTGAGGGGCAGTGCATCTCTCCACCAACCTCTGCCAGGGTGGCAGAGAGGCAGCCGGGCTCCCACAACAGCACACGGCGCTGGCCATGAGGCCACGACAGCCAGATGCACTGTGGGTGGATTGGCGTCAGTTACAAAGGGCAAGGGGCTGCTCCACGGACGAAGCCATGCCTTCGACAGCTCGATGGGGCCCTGGGGGCAGTGTAGTCCCAGGCCCACGACAAGCTCAGGAAGTGCAGACTGGGCCACTGGGGATGACTTGGGTGTCTCTCTTCTACAGAATCACCTCGAACCACTGCAGCCATTACTCCGTGGGCCACGTCAGCACTGGCCCCCACAACCACACCAAGATCAACACCCATAGGACTCACCATGACCCAGGCCACAACTCAGACCACAGCATCTTCTCTCAGCTCATCCACCAAGTCCACAGCTCAGTCCACGTCACGCACGACAGAGGCACAGCCAACCCTAGCAACATCAGAGACCGCCCCCAGCTCAGGTACGTAGGAGCCATGAGCACCAGGGCTCGCAAAGGCGGTTGGTCTCACCTCTGCTCCTGAGACAAAAGGGGCCCTATTGCCAAGAGGCAGGAGAAGGCACAGCTGACAGTGAGGGTAGGGACAAGGGGTGGCCTGGTATCCAACCTGGAATAGGCCCTGAGAAACGGGAGGTCCCCAGGGCTGCAGGTCAGAAATGGGGGCATGGGGTAAATCTCCGGTAAGTACAACAGAGCTACTAAGGGACAGGTAGGAGGGGAGGCTGACAGTGACACTGCATTCTTCCCAACAGCACCCAGCCATCAGGGAACCCCGGGCACAACAAGCAGCCAGGAGACACAACACACACAGTCACGTCCCACCCCTGCCAACACAACTGGTCAGACAGAGCAAACGACATTACCCACAGGATCCCCGGGAACACCAACCATGAGCACTTTGACCCCCAAAACAGCCACCTCCCTGAGAACGCCGTATACCCCTACCACCACACACTCCCCACCCACGCTCTCAGTATCAGCCACACCACACACAATGGGACCCTCCTCGGGGACATCCTTCAACACTCCCACCACAGGGACCCCACCAGGCCCGCACAGCACACCTCCCATTCCTATTCCAACTCTTGCCACCTCGTCAGGAACTCCCACCACTCCCCGAGTCATCACACCTACCCAACATCACACCCCTTCCACTTCCGCCTCGAAGCCCACGGGCACCGTTCTGCTAACGACCACTGTCCAAGGCACAGGTCCCACAAACTCTGTCCCACCGCTAACGAGCACCACCAGGGGGACGAGCCACACCCACAGCCCATTCAGCACGGCCAGCACCTCTGCATCCCCAGGGCCTGAAACACCCCACTATGAATCCACATCGGCATTCACCACCATCACTCCCACATCCACAAATACAGGAACGGGGACCCCGGTAGCGCACACCAGCTCCGCCACCACAGGCAGCCCCCACACTCCTTCCACCACACACTCTTCGACCACACTTTCTGTCTCAGCCATGACTCACACCACAGGTTCCCACACAGGGACACCCTTCAAGACCACCACCATCCTTCCGTCTCCATCTGGCCCTCACACCACACTTCCAACTCGTGTTCCCACATTTTCTACCTCCTCGGTCACGCCATCCACTCACCGAGTCATCACACCGACCAACCAGCAGACTTTCTCTTCCTCCACCCACAAGCCAACGGGCACCATTCTCCCAACCACCTCAGTCCAAGGGACAGGTCCCACACACTCAGCCCCACCTCTGACGAGCACCACCAGTGGGACCAGCCATGCCCACAGCTCATTCAGCACAGCCAGAACCTCCACATCTTCAGTGTCAAACACACACCATGAATCCACAACTGCATCTGCAACCACCATCACTCCCAAGCCCACTAGTAGGGGTACTGGGACCCCAGGTGTATACACCTCTACCACCCCTAAAGGTTCACACACTCCTTTCACCACACACCAGCAATCCACACTATCTGTCTTATCCACACCACACACCACAGGAACCCCCTCAAGAACATCATTCAAGACCACCACCATCCTTCCATCTCCATCTGGCCCTCACACCACATTTTCTACTCTCAGTCCCACATTTTCAACATCCTCTGTCACTCCAACCACTCACCGGGCCATCACACCTACCCACCAGCAGACCTTATCCACCTCCTCTCTCAAGACCACAGGATCCATTCTCCCAACCACCTCAGTCCAGAGCACAGGTCCCACACACTCAGTTCCACCACTGACGAGCACCACCAGTGGGACCAGCCATGCCCCCAGCCCATTCAGCACAACCAGAACCTCTACTTTCCCAGTCTCTAAAACAACCCACCACGCATCCACATCAATATCTGCCACCACCATTACTCCCAGGTCCACGAGTAGAGAAACTGGGACTACAGTGGTGCACACTAGTAGTCCCCACACACCTTTCACTACACACTCCTCAACCACACTGTCTATCTCAGCAACACCACATACGACTGGTACACCCTCGGAAATATCCTTCAAGACCACCTCCATCAATCCATCTCCATCTGGCCCTCACACCACACTTTCTACTCTTGTTCCTACATTTTCTACCTCCTCAGTCACTCCATCCACTCACCGAGTCATCACACCTACCCCCCAGCAGACTTTCTCTTCCGCTACCCCAAAGCCTACAAGCATCATTCTCCCAACCACTTCAGTCCAAGGGACAGGTCCCACGCACTCAGTTCCACCTCTGACAAGCACCACAGGTGGGACCAGCCATGCCCACAGTTCATTCAGCACAGCCAAAACCTCCACTTCTTTGGTATCACAACCATCACCCACAGGTGGGCCCAGCCATGCCCACAGTTCATTCAGCACAGCCAAAACCTCCACTTCTTTGGTATCACAACCATCACACTATGAATCCACAACTGCGTCTGCCACCACCATCATTCCCAAGACCACTAGTAGGGGTTCTGGAACTCCAGAGGTGGACACAAGCTCTGTCACCCCAAACAGTCCCAACAACCCTTTCACCACACACTTGTCATCCACGCTTTCTGTCTCTTCCACACCACACAGCACTGGAACCCCCTCAAGAACATCCTTCAAGACCACCACCGTCCTCTCATCTCCATCTGCCCCTCATACCACAATGTCTACTCTAGTTCCTACATATTCCACCTCCTCAGTCACTCCCACCACTGAACGAGTCATCACGCCTACCCAAGAACACACAATTTCTACCTCCACTTTCAAGCCAACAGGCACTTTTATTCCAACTACTTCAATCCAAGGAACAAGTGCCCCACTCTCATCCTCTCCAAACACAGGCACAACAAAGGGGACCAGTACAGCCAAAACCTCCACTTCCCCAGTGTCGCACACACCACACCACAAATCCACATCAACACCTACTTCTATCATCACTCCCAAAACGACAAGTGGAGGTACTGGGACCCCAGTGGTTCAAACCAGCTCCGAAACCCCCAGCAGGCCACACACACTCTTCACCACATATTCACCATCCACACTTTCTATCTCTTCCACCCCACACACCACTGGAACCCCCTCAGGGACATCACTTAAGACCACCTCCATCCTCCCATCTCCATCTGCCCTGCCCACCACACTTCCAACTCTTGTTCCCACATTTTCTACATCCTTGGTCACTCCATCCACTCACCAAGTCAACACCCCTACCCGCCATCAGACCTTATCCACCTCTACTCTAAAACCCACAGGCTCTATTCTCCCAACCACTTCTGTTCAAGAAACAGGACCCACATACTCAGTTCCACCACTGATGAGCACCACGAGGGGGACGAGCCATTCCACCAGCCCATTCAGCACGGCCAGCACCTCTACATCCACAGGGCCTGAAACACCCCACTATGAATCCACATCGGCATTCACCACCATCACTCCCACATACACAAATACAGGAACGGGGACCCCGGTAGCACACACCAGCTCCGCCACCACAGGCAGGC